CAGACCGGTACAGCGCCCGCTTCACTGAAGACCCCGCACCTATCTGCCTATCGATCTCCCGCTCCATTTTCCCCTCATTCGTGCACAAGGCCCAGAACCTCCTCCCCAACCCAGAGAAGGTACTCTACCCTTTTCCGGCTGTAATTTTTGAATTACATTTTGATACAATTGTCATAAATTCAGCGCTGAATAAGAAACCTGCTGTTGTTGATGCTAAACTGAACTGAAGGAGACAGAAATACTTTCCTTTTCCTCGGTTTTATCTTTGAACGAGTTTCTTTACGCAACTTCTGTGTCACCTTGAGATCCCACACCATTAAACATCTCACTGTCAACAATCAATACATTTGGCTGCCCATTTAGCCCTCTTTTGTCTTGGCAAATGAAGTTGATGGATGAAAAAAGCACTGGCGCCCTCCCTCACGTAATGTGCCGTGAACGGCCACGTCGATACTCTCTGACTTAACGGTATATGAGGACGGAGGCAGAGATTTAAAGGGTTTAGAGCAGGACATGAGAGCGGGGTCAACTCTTAGGACAACTTAATATTTAATCAACCTGTCCTCGCTGGTTACTCAAAACCCCACAATCCCCTCTGGACGAGCAAGGAGACAAAGAGGGCGGGATGAAATTTTATCTTTTAAACTGTTTTTGTGCATTGAGCGAGTACAAATTAAGCAAGAGATGGAGACGAAAATAGGTTGGGGACATTTGCAGGGTGACACAGATAGAAGTAATGGGGTGCAGCAGACAGAGACAGACAGGTGAAGATTAGACACGAGGAGGTGAAAAGTACCATCATCTTCATCATACATGTTCGAACTCAGTGGCCGTTTCAGGCAAGGTTAAAGAATGCTATTTTTATTGTATGACATAGTGAATCCAGCTTTAAAATATTACAAAATCTGCTCAAAAACATTCAGAAATGATGCATGAATCTTTTAAAATAATAGAAGCCAATCTGCAAAGCGTCGTTTTCAGCGTTTTTAGTTGTAATGGGTCAAATTTATTGACTGTTAGCACCAGATGTTGATTTTCTGATGGATAATTTATCACCTGAGAGGCAAACAAATGAAACTTGTACTGTTTTTCATACCGAGTCTTCTATTTCCTATTAGCCTAATCAGTTACAAAGTACAAAGTAAAAATAAAAGACAAATATATTTTTACTTTACACAAAAGTTCCTGAATTTCAACAAATGATATGTTTACCATTTTCCATTGTTAATTAAATACTGGTTTATGAGATTTGCAAAATTACTTCTTGGTTTTAGATTTTAATTTACACATTCCAACTTTTTCAAAACTTTGGTTGAAAATGCATATTTTGCATCATTATAGAAATACTCTATCTCCCAGAAGTAAAGATGGGCAGAGGTTCACCAGCCTGTGAAAATCCTATTTAAAAATAGTTGAACAAGGCGGTGGTGCAGTTGGTAGAGCTGCTGCCTCTCAGCGAGAAGGTTGCCGGATCAAATCCCGGCCGATGAGCCTTTTTGGGTGGGGTTTGCTTGTTCTCTCCGTGCTGCGTGGGTTTTCTCCAGGTACTCCAGTTTCCTCCCACAGACCAAAAACATGCATGTTAGGCTGATTGGTAACTCTAAATTATCCCTAGGTGAGAGTGAGCGAGTGAATGATTGTTTGTCTCATTTATGTGTCCCTGTGACAGACTGGAGACCTGTCCACGTGTCCCTGTGATGGACTGGAGACCTGTCCAAGGTGTCTGTCAGGGGAATGTTGATCAAGGTCAAGGATGTTTGTCACTAACTAATGTTAATTGTCCACGAACCACGTATCAGAAAGAGCAGAATGAGGAGCTGCTTTAATTCTGCATGTGCAGCTGGTACTCCATGGTTGTCTCCAAGTCTGGAGGAGGAGCTGATAAGCGTGTATTATTTTTTTTTTAATTTATTTAATTCCTGCTTGCTGTCCGGTTGCAGTTTCTCATGATGAGGTTTTAAGCATGCAACTTCGAAACATCCGTGTAAACCTTTTTCGTGACCGTCTGCCCTCGCATGTAAACTGGGTTAAAATTTTTCTCCTGTCTTTGTGTGGCTCCTTTTATGTAATTAGACAATGAAAGGATATTTTATCCAACGGTGTCCGCCTCCCACAGAGACTGCTGGACATGGGCACCAGTGACCCTCACAACCCGAAAAGGAAGAAGTGGGTAAAGATGATGGATGGATGGATGGATGGATGGATGGATGGATGGATGGATGGATTGATGGATGGAAATACAAAGTAGTTGAACAATATCAGAATAACGTTCCTCGCAAAAAATTGTGAAGACATTGAATATCCCGTCGTCTACAGTTCAGAATATCATCGAACGATTTGAAGAATCTGTAAAAATCTCTGAGCTCAAAGGACGAGGCTGAAAGTCAACGATGATCGATGGTGATCACGACTAGTGGATGGTCGTGCTCTTCGTGCCCTCAGGGGCCCCAGCATTAACAACAGGTCTGGTTCTGTTCTGGACATCACTGCTTGAACTCAGGAACACATCTACAAACCACCGTCTGTAAACACAGTTGACCGTGTAACGCTGTATCTTGTGAAGAAGATAGTTAGGGCTTAGTCATTAGTAAAGTGGTTCCTTAAGATTCTCTCTATAAATGTATTAAACACACAGAGCACTAAGCAGCATCCAAGTATCGTTGGTCCCTCGTCTTGTTAACGGTCAGAGCTCAGTAGGGAGTACGCACCCAGCCAGCTGTGGCTTCCCCTCAACGTAGCAGCTGTTAACTGCTGCCTGTCAGCTCTCCTTTGGGCTCAGGGTGACTTTCCCACCGAGCCGTCCAGCCGCCACACAGCCTTTGGGTTCTTGGGATAAACAAATCTAGGGTAAAGAGCAATGTGTGTGTGGGGGGGTTGATTAATGTCAGCAGGTAGGCAGGCAGATGGGCCTCTGGGACCCCCAGCTGATCCCTGTGGAGGTGCAGACAGCCAAGTTCAGCGGTGTTCCACCTAGCCCGGTCTCAGCACTTTGGGGAGAAAGTGAGAAAAGTGCTGAGGCAGCAAGTGTACGAGGTGAAGTGGTGAAAATTTAACCAGCCTGATGAAAGTTTAAGTGTGCATGTTAAACAGGAAAGAATCAGAAGGATGGCAGGAGGTGACCCTGTGGGACACTTTCTCATAGTTATTATCCAGCATGACTCATATCATGGTCTGCTACTCAAAAATGGGACTCTAGTTTTACCGAACACCTCAGGAAGCAGTGCAGCCCTCCTCTGACCCTGGCTTGACCTTTAAAGTAACATCAATACCACACTTCTGGTTTCTGCTTCTTGATAATTGACTGTGAGAAGGCTGCTTGGTTTCAAGGACACCGGCATTGTTTCTCTGCACTGCGGTCCGGCTCATATACATGCCAAGAGCCTTCAAGCGTTTTTGATGACGGTTTTTCACATAAAGGTACTCAAAGCAAAGTAACCATCGGTGATCAGTGGAGGGTAGTGGTGGAGAAAGTACTCAAACACTGTACTTAAGTAAAAGTACAACTAAACAGACAAAAATGTACTCTAGTAAAAGTAGAAGTGCCACATTAACTTTTTACTTGAGTAAAAGTAAGTACTTGCTTTTAAAAATGCTTAAAGTATTAAAAGTAAAAGTACTTGCTGAGTGTTACCTAATGCAGTGGTCTACAATATCATTAAGTGTGCCTACCATATGTATATTTCCTGTAATACATCAATAGTGTTGAGCCATTTTAATGAACAATGCTGCAGTAATGCATGTTTTTATTGTTTACTCTGTGACACAGTTCACACTTGGACTTGTGATTCTGTGCAGTAGAATTTCAGCGATGACCTGCAGAGTTAAATGACATTAAGCAAAATAAGGAAGAGGAATGATTTTACCTTTGAAAGTTTTTTATTTAACACAAAGCAAAACCAATGTGTCATTTTAACTGCAGTAAACACATTTAAGTAAAAGTTGTCTGTTTGAAAAAAAGGAGCATTAAACCTAACAAAGGAATAGACTCTGATCATTTCAGCTCCAGTTTGTCATCAACTCTAGTTAAATACTGTCTAGTCGACCTTGTAATGAGTCAATAGTGAACAATGTTTTAACTTCCTGACACCATTTTCAAAACTTGGACCCGAGTGTCGAGACATTTGGAGACATCTCTTGTCTCCTAACATCCCATGAACTGACACATTTTAATGTTGCAGCAAGAATTTCTTGTTCAAGTTCAGAAGAAGTTGGTTTTCAAAGATTTTGAGACCAGTCTGGCTCTTTTGAGAGAGAGAATCTGTCCTGCTGTACTGAAGAGTCCTTCAATAGTCTTTCAATAAGGCCATGGATGGTGCGTATCTTCTGTCTGACTCTTTGTGGTGGAATCTATTGTGGGTGTATTAGCGGTGTTGTGCTCACGTATATACTAGAATATATGTCATTGGTCCAGCTCTTCTTGAAGGTGGGTCTAACGTTACCTGCCCACTTTGTAGTGATTCAATGGATCAACTCCCCTCTCACCATTGGTTACTTTCAAACTAACGAACAAATAAAACAAAAACTCATTGTGAATGTAACTTATAAAGCAACGCATTATAGAAATATAGTGTAGTAGAAAGTACATATACTTGATGCAAAATGTAGTGGAGTAAAAGTAGAAAGTACCCACAGTTAACTCTACTTAAGTAAAGTACAGATACATGAAAAATTTACTTAAGTACAATAACAAAGTACTTACTTAGTTACATCCCACCACTAGGGAGGGTTCCAAATGAAAGAGAGTCCAACGCTGTGATTACATAAAGCTGGGTAACATGCTCGCTGTGGGGATACACACTCACTAGACAGTGTTGATGGAGTTTTTCACAAGCCTGATGGGGTGTTGATTAGGACTTGTTCACCCACGAGAACCAGATGCTGAAATGGATCCAAATGAGCTTTTCTGTTTTTGGGTTTCACTCTGTCCTCTCTGTGTTTAGACGCATGCCACTTCTTTCCGCCCTGTTTTTACATCACTTATGTCCTCTGCTGTCTTTCAGGTGCAGTACGAGCCTCCAGCATCTTCCCCATCCTCAGTGTCATCCTACTCTTCATGGGGGGGTTGTGTATAGCTGCCAGTGAGTTCTACAAGTCACGCCACAACATCATCCTCAGTGCAGGGATCTTCTTCGTGTCTGCGGGTAAGTCAAACGCCCAGAAAATAAGATTTGGGGGAGAGAGTCATTTCAGATATGTTTCCCTGAATCAGAGCAGTTTTAATGAATGTCGTCATGTTTCGTTCATTTATTCCTGGATGGGAAGTGCAGCAACTTCTGCTACAGAATAGAAGCCCAGTTCTTTCTTTTTACATTTTCTTGGAGTTTATTTGGTATTGTTGGGAAAACAGCTGTCACCTAAAATAAAAATACACTCGAATGGCCAAACACATTGCAATCTGCACTAACAAGTGTAGAGTTTGTGCCACCATCTTGGTAGGTGCTACATGACATTGTTGTTTTGCCCCAGCCAGTTATGGGGGACGCTTGTGGGAGGCTCATTGTGGCATACCTTTGTCCCCTGCTTTCACAAAAGAAGGTTGTGTTCGTGTGATTTTGGATTAATGATACAGCTTGCAGAAATTGTTAATAATGTCAGGCTTTGACATTTAAGCAGTACAGTGTTGGTGTAGCACCTAGCAAGATGGCAAATCTCACCCAGGGTTATGTTGATAATGGCAACAGCTGTGTCCCAGGAAAGAGTCAAACTTACCAGATATTAATTCAAGGTTTCACTCCTACACCGAAGCTAGATCACCGTGTACACCAGCTACTTGGTGGAAGACAAGTGAAAAAGTTAATCAAGGCCAAGATTAGTTTATTTGGTGAAGTGTGCCAAGCAGCGCTAAAACAAAATCAGGTTTGATGCTTTATGTTAAGCTGTAGAACAATGTTACGATCGCTGTTCAACTGTCTTTGTTTTTGTTCTTCATCTTCCCATGGATTATCACCCACAAACATCCCTCTTCTCTTGTTTACTGCCTACATCTTCCCACTCGTCAGGTTTGAGCAACATCATCGGGATCATCGTGTACATATCAGCCAACGCAGGGGACCCTTCAAAAAGCGACTCGAAGAAGAACAGCTATTCGTACGGCTGGTCCTTCTATTTCGGTGCCCTATCTTTCATCATGGCTGAAATGGTGGGCGTCTTGGCCGTGCACATGTTCATCGACCGCCATCGACAGCTGCGAATAGGGGCGCGCGCAGCTGACTACCTCCAAGGCTCGGCCATAACGCGGATCCCCAGCTACCGCTATCGCTACAGGCGCCGCTCGCGCTCCTCTTCCCGATCCACAGATCCATCACATTCCCGCGACACCTCACCGGTGGGCCTCAAGGGTTTCAGCGCGCTGCCATCCACAGAAATCTCAATGTACACGCTGCCCCGGGACACCCTGAAGTCCTCCGGTACGCCCACCACCACCTACAACTCTGAGAGGGACCATAACTTCCTTCAGGTCCACAACTGTATCCAGAAAGACCTAAAAGACTCAAGCCACACCAACACAGCCAACCGCCGCACCACGCCTGTATGAGAACGTCCACGCAGGCCTGGCCAAGCCCAGCAGAGATCAGGAGACACAGGAACCGCTGTGGGTGCCGCACGCCCCTGGAGAAGTTTTCATGTTTATAGACATTTGTTCCTTTTGTTCAGCTGCATGACTTTTCCATAACCATTGTTGAGAGAGTTTCAACTGGTCTTCTGTGTTCCTGAACTGAATGGCAGAGGACTGGGAATGGGTCAGGTTCTCTGTCCGGAGTGAGAGCTGTCATTTTTGGGGAGCAGTATTTTGTTTTCGAGGTTCAGGGCTCTGAAACGGGGGTGAAAAGTGGGAGGGGCATTTCTAAGACTCCATGTTTTCATTACCCGTCAGGTTTGACAGTTTTGCCCCACAAGTTTTACTGGAGCAACAGGTCAAGCCTCCCTTTAGCCATCCCACCGCTCAGATAAACGCCTCCCTTATTTATTGACTCGTTTTATTTATTTTTTTGTTTGTTTGTTTTGCTTTTTTTGTTTTTTCATTAAAACTGTGAATTGTTACAGCTTGGGATTCAGTAAGAAGTACCCCAATCTGTAATCTCTAACAAAGGTACTATATATATATATATGTATTACTTTTATAAATAAATTATTACATTAATAATCACTAAATAACAGACTTTACTGAAGCAAAAAAGAGAAACTCTACCAAGTGCTGCTGAAAACACGAGAAAAGACTTTTTGTATCTCTTCACTGGAAGGTCAAGAGCAGGAACAGGTTCTGGAGGTTGCAGCAGAGCAGCGACTGACGCCACCAGAGGCCGGCGGTCAACAGTAGAGTAATATTTATTCTTTCAACCGTACCTTCTCCTCTTTTTCTCTATCTCTGTTCCCTTTCTTTTTTGGAGGGGAGAGCGGTAAAAGAGCGTCGGACCCCTCGACAGAAAAATCCAAATAAAAGAGTCAAAGCAAAGGCTCCAAACTTCTGTGACGCAAAAAGAAAGGAGCAGAGAGGAGGACAAAGAAGAGGACGACAAACGCAAAAATAAAAAACAAGTTAAACATGAAATAGAAGAAGAAAAGCTCTCAGTTTCAGAAATTAAATGCATGCTATAAAATTACAGCAGATCTGCTCTTGAGAAACTTAAGTTTTAAAGTTAATAATTATAAGGGGGAAAGGCGCTAGAGTTTAAAATAATAATGTTTTCATGTGTGTTTATATTCTTTTTTTTTTTTTATCTCATTACATCTGTGAGACAAACCAAACAATTACATCAAACAAAAACTGCTTTCTTAAACAGTTTGGTTGATTTCTTTCTGAATATATACAAATATGTCTGTATTGATTTTGTTTTTGAAAACTCACACAGCCTTAGCCATTTCTTTTTGTTTCTTTTAATTTTTAATGTGTTGTTTAAATTGAAATGAAATCTTTAAAGGTGCCAAAACCGAATGATCCTATACTTGGATGCAACAAGTCCTGATGAATAAAATATGAACCCCAGGGGGAACAAATCATCTTGTTTCTCTGCGTGTCTCTAACTCACATTCCAGAAACACCTCCCTGTTCATCAGCTTTTTAGCTTCATATACGTTTCAGATCATAAAAATGTGGCAATTATTCATCAGGCGTTCTGTATTTTGGGGGTGTTTGATCTATTAAAAGTGCTTTCATGTTTTTTATTATGAAAGATTTGAACATAAGCTGTAAGCATCTCATTGCATCAGATCTTTTCAGATTTTAGGCTGTAAATTAGGAGCACAATAAAGACATTTGAATACATAAAACAAAACCTAAAAACATAAACACAAGAACATGTCATCAGGAAAAAAAAATCAATAGTTTTACCATTATATTTGAGAGGTGGAATCGCATAATGGTTTTACTTTAATACAAAATAATCTCAGATAATAATGTGCTTTAAGCCCAAGAGTTTATAAAAATCACATTTACAAACCTAATTGATGCGAATGCCTGGAAACTTGAACAAAATGAAGAGTTTCCAGTTAATTTGGACATAAAGTTTGCTGTATTTGTAGTTCTTTATGCAAAGCTCCGCCCTCAATTGAAATATTTTATACTTCTGTGTCAGAGTTCACCTGAGTTTAGTTGGAAGTTTAGATTTATTTTGTGCCAGAAGCTGGAAAACAAAGTTTGGAATTTAACAACAGACGCCATTCATGTCAAATAAGCACTCATTTATTTTTTGAATGAAAGATCAGGAGGTAAAGACTCAGATCAAATATAACTGAAAAAGAAAAAACAGCAACAAAACTTTGCCGAGCGGATTTATCTATTTGTGCCTCCAACAGTTTTTTCTGTAATTTATTTATTTATTTTTTTGCCTCGTTTGTTCACCTTTTGGATTTGATTTTGCTCATTTTTACATCAAATCTTGACAGTTTTTGTGGTCTGGTTCCAGTTGTTTACTGTGACTGTTTTTATTTACTGCTTGTTTTGTCTTTCTTCATGTTCCTTAACAAATAGTTTCATGTTTGTTTGCATCTATTTTTTGTCGTTTTCTTTTCGTTGCAAGCAGTCGTTAATCTTTATCTCTTTCGGGGTTTATTTTTCTCATATTTTAGTAGTTTGTGTGATTTTTTATTTTTTTATTTTTTTTGCTGTATGCCTGACAAAGATGAAACACGAGGTGGAACGCTTTAGTTTTATTTTCATTTCCCTCAACAGACAAAAGTCTGATGTTAAAATGAGCATTTTGAGAAATCTATACAAGTGGTTTAAAATCCGATATTCATAAATCAAAGCTTTCAATGTGGGTTTCATCTCGTAAAGTGGAAAAAAATATTGTCCGAAAAATGAAAAAGGGAAGTAAACTGTAAAATATATTGCCTTTAGCTTTAACGCAACCATAAAAATAAAAGCTGAGCCGACAGATATAAAACCTGTCCGAAATCAGCCTGATGTTGTAAAACGATGGTAACTCGCTGGAATCGACCACGGGGAGCTATCTTCCTAAAACATCAGTGCTGCCCATCGAATATCTGAGCGTACCGCATGTGCAGAGGGAGAAAATCTCTTTTATTGAACAGAACGCTGCTCAGGATGAGAATTTATAAAACCGTTCTGCAGAGGAAGAGATATAAGCTTCGACTCCTGCCGCACAAGCAGAGCAGTGAGTGTGATTTCTCTTCTTGTCTGCGAAAACGCTCAGAGAGGGCAACATGTTGGACGTTCCGTTCCAGAGGAAGAAACACGGCTTTACAAGAACACGACGCCATTTTGTTGTCTGTTTGTTTAGTTGTTATCAGAGACATTCCTGCAAAGAGTGGGGAGTGGTGGCGCAGAGGTTAGAGAAGACGGGCCTGTGCTCGGAAAGTAGCAGGTTCAACTCCCCAGACTGACAACATCAAAATGTGGGTGGAAAAGGTGCCACACCTGCCTCCACCCGCATTTACCCCACTCTGGGCTCTTGAGCAAGTTCCCTTAACCCCCATCATCTGCTCCCAAACAGGTCTCGCTTAAAAATGAGTTATTTTGACTCGAGACTAAATAAAATAAATAAAAACTAAAAGAGAACATCCAACACCTTTCTACTCCATTGCACTAAAAGGGAGGCTTTCAGGGTCTAAAAACCTCCTCTGTGTGTGTGTAGGGGTGTGTGTGCATGTGTATGCTTCTGAAAGTGATACAGGTTTGTGTGTGTGTCATGGTGTGCTTAAAGTTTCAGGAAGTGCTGAGAGCAGCCAGTCCCTGAAAAATATCGCAAAAAGCTCGAGTATAATAAGATTCCTTTAAAATTCGCCAAAATGCAGTCATGTTTAAGACTGATTAACTAATAAATCGGGGGTGGGCTGACTTCTTTTGGTGGAAAACGTGCTGAGAAACCTAACGACGCTATAAATTTGAATGCATTTCATGTGTTTTAATCACCTGAATATGAAGCGGCGATCATGTTTCTGCTTATCTGTGTGTTTGTTCCTTTGTTAGCAAATATCCTCATGAACCAGTAGATTAACTAAAACTCTCAAAAAGTGATCTTTGGACGCACGTCTACAACTGATTAGCTTTTAGAGTCAGTCCCATTCAAGATGTCCGCCACAGCTTTGTGGACTCAGCGCTCAAATTTCAGGTGGTAGTAGCTGAGAGTCATGCCCAACACGTACTCTGAGTGTTTCACGTTGCACTTCATCGTTGCCTAAAACTTTAGTAGATTCAGCAGCAACATATATCATGAGGTGCTGGATAGATTAAAACTTCTTTAGCCGCTCATTTAAAAATCATGAACATCGAGTCAACCCATTCATCCAAAGGACTTATTCAGTCTGAGGAGCCACCAAACCAAACTGAATCCCACAAACAGCTCACTCCAAGTGGAAAAAGTCATGTTATCAGCAGCAAACTGATATTTTCCACCCTGGGAGTGAGCTGTTTGTGGGATTTGGTTTGGTGGGATCCTCAGACTAAAGAAGTCCTTTGGATGAAGGATGAAACGTCTCAGCAACAAAATAAACCGTCCAGATGATAGCAAAGTCCATGCTCAATAATCCAGGTATAAAATCCAACAATGTTTAGTCAGATTATCTGAACGGTTTATTTTGTTGCTGAGATGTGTCATCCTTCCATCCAGAAGGTTTCATCAGTCTGAGGAAACGCCAAACAAAACTGCTTCTCCCCTAACAGCCTACTCCAAAATGGAAAAACCCAGTTATGTTGGTGTTAAGATGGTCTCTGGGGCACTCCTCCGGTGCTCCCTCTCCCTCTTCGACAGTCATGTCAGTCTGCTTCAAAACACCAGATGACCTGACCGAACATTGTTGGAAGACCAAAGGTTTTGTACATTTCACTTTCTCTCACTTTGATTTCACCAAACATACGAAGCAGGTCGGATCATTCTGAAACAGTTAAGCACATTGTCGCTGATGCAAATTGCAAGAAAAGCTACAAAATCAAATTAAATTCTCTGTATCGTTCGTGATCATTAAAGTTTAGTGAATTGTTTGACCTCAATTAAAGAACAAAAGGTTTTTTTTTTACTTTGTAAACAAAAGTCAGACTCAAATTCTCAAATTTGACATTCTTGTTCATTTAAATCCGTAATTAACTTGCACCCAGGTCTTTATCTAACCCGTTCTTTTTCCCTCCTTCTTCTTTTTGTTGTTCCTGCTGGGGTGATCAGA